AAAATTAAAAAGACGGTTATGTCCGAAGATACGGGGGTCTCTTAGAACTAGCAGAATGACTTCTTCATCAAAAGGCATGGAGAAATTGCACAGAATTCTTTTAAAAAATAAAGTAGAGATGTAAAATCTGAACTTATTTTTATAGGCTAATCCCTTTATTTGATTAAATTAATTCTTATTTCTTTTTAAAAAAATAACTATGTAGAAGATTATACATTCTTTGGTAAATTCAAAATATTTTTATTCAAAATTATTATAAAAAATCAAATTTCTCTTGAGGATATTTTGATATGAAGAAGAACTTTATCAAGAACATCCATCGATTTATTTAAAAAAACTTTTTTTAATCTATTTTTATTTTTTAAAGATTTTAAAATAAAATTTTTAGTTTTGCCTATTTTGTTTGTTTAGCTTTTAATAATTAAAAAAAATAAAAGTTAGATGTTTGGTGTTTCAAATATTTTTTTGTCAAAATTTACATGATTTAATTATAAAGTGCATTTAGGTTTAAATAAATTATTATTTTAAGTTAAATTTCAAGTATGCTCACCCCAAAATTATTTATTATTAAATAACAAAAAGTGCAACTTTATGATAAATATTTTTGCCAATTTCAATAATATTTTAAAAAATTAAGAGACTATCCCAAATATTTTTAATGAACTTTTAAAAGTTGTTCAAACATAAAGTGTATCTTCAATTCAATATAAAAAGGATTCAAATTTTGGGTTTAGATAAGAATTCCCAATTGTATTAATAAAAATATAAAATTCAAACCCTTATAAGAAATGATGAAAATAATTTTTTTATTCCTTATTTTTGCCCAAATTTATTATTTATCCTCCTCAGCAAATCTGACTGAAAAAGAAAAGTTAGATAAAGCTCAAAAAATAGTTGATAAGGCAAACGCTAAAAATAAAGGAAAATGGATTGCAAAATTACATCATCGCTTTGCTAAATTGGAGAAGCATTCAGTAATGCTTGGGGCAAAACTGAAAGTTCCGAAAAAACAAGTCCCTACTCCCGAAAAAACAAATCTACGCCGTAAACGTTCAATTCCAGCTTCTTTTGATGTTCGTACAGGATTTCTATCTTGTGCTGGAATTGTTGGAATGATTCAGGTAATTAATTACAAATTTTTAATAAATAAATAATCCTTCAAAAAGGACCAATCAAGTTGTGGAGATTGTTGGGCTGTCTCCACTGCCTCTGCTTTAACTGATCGTTATTGTATTAGTCAAGTAAAAAAGGGGAATTCAGCACCTTTAAAGACAAATCCATCAGTGTACTTCTCGGCGCTAGAGTTGATGAGTTGTACTCCTGGAATGTCTGGATGTGGTGGAGGTGATCCTTACTATGCATGGAAGTATACACAGAATTCAGGTATTTTAATTATTTTTACTGAGCTATTGAATGGAACTCTCCCTCCCTGCCCTACTAAACATTAAGTCTCTGGCATTGATAGATTTAATTATCAATAGTAATCACACAAATCTAAATCTTTTGTAGATAATAGCGAAAGTTAGGCAAATATTTGGGTACCAGGAAGGATTCAAACCTGCAATCTCTTGTTATAAAGAAATTTCATTAACAAATATCATCGGATTTTTAATTAAAGGTCTTGTTACTGGGACAAATTATACTTGGAATAGTGGATGTAAGCCATATCCATTCCCTCCACATGGAAATACTGAATACACTGCCCCGTCCTGTGTCTCTTCGTGTACATCTAGTGCTTGGAATGTTGCTTATACCCAAGATAAAAAATATAGTTTAGTCTTTAATTTAGATAATTAACAAAATATTCTTTTAAATTTAGCTAAGACAACAGGTTATATTCAAAGTAATGTAGCAGCCATTCAAAATGAAATAATGGCTAATGGTTCTGTTGTAGCTGCTTTTGATGTTTACGATGATTTTATGTATTATTCCTCAGGAGTATATCAGGCAAATTTTGGATAGACTTTATTTGCCTTTTACTAAAATTATAAATTAAATTTAGCAAACTTCTGATGTTTATGTAGGCGGACATGCCGTTAGAATGATTGGTTGGGGTACCGACACTTATCCAGACGGAACAAGTTTGGATTATTGGTTGTGTGCCAACCAATGGAATTATGATTGGGGAATGAATGGATATTTCAAAATTGCTAGAGGTGTGGATGAATGTGGAATTGAATCCTCTGAAATTTCTTTTGGAACTTTTTAAAATATTTTCTTTAATTAGGAATAATTGTTGTTAACTATTTAGGTATTACATTAGAATAATTAGTTTTTCCCTAGTAAATATAAACTAAATTTAGAAATTCATGTTATTTTTCAAGCAATTTACTAAAAACTATAATGTTCGTGGATTTGTTGAAGGAAATAAATATTTATTTAAAAAAGTCTTTAATTTTTGATAAATTTTAAAGTGATATACTAACTTAAAAGAATTAAAATTACAAATTAATTGTGTTTGGAACCCCGTACTCCTATAGAGTTCTGTTTAAACACTACTTCTAAGGCTTCCAAAATTCGAAATTTTTGCCTTTATTTAAATCATCCCATAAAATCAACCGATATCACCATTAACCCTTCAGCAACACTCGATATCCTCTAAATCATCCAACTCAGCCGATATTCCTTCGATTCTACTTATATCCCTATATTTTCAAATGCATTTATATCCCTTAAACCAACGATATTCTCAAATCCCCTGCTATATTAATGTTTGAGAGCATACTCATCTTTAAAAATTTCCGAGAAACTTATGCTGGAACGTGTTTTTTAGAACGAGTTTTTTTTCTTATCTAAGACACCCCGTATCTTCGGGCATAACCGTCTTTTTAATTTTATTTACAAAATTATTTAAAAAATTATAGTTAAATTAATTTTTATTTATTAAATTTTACTAAAAAATATTTGGATGACTCATAAATTTATTTTAGAAAACCGATTTTATCATTTTATTTTTGGCACCTTTTTTTATTGATGCTGATGATATTGATGTTCTATGTAATTTTAATTTTTTTTTAAATTCCCAATAATTTCCGATTACCACACACATAGATTTAACTTGTAATTTTTGTAAATATTGGATTAAATTTAAATAAATAAAATAAACAAATGATTCATATTAAATTCTAACTGTAAATGCATTAGAAGGACTAAAGAGAATCAGTTATTTTCATTACTTTTCTTGTATTTTTTGTGTTGGGAAAAGTGTGTGTCCTTTTAATTCTAGTATGATGTCCCTTGTCTAAAGCCGTTTCGAAACAAAAAATATCTGCGTAAATCAAAATTTCGAAGCAGTTCTGCCTTTGATGGAAGAGAGAAAAAAATAAAATAAAAATCAAAGATTTCCATTAATTAATTTAAACATTTTCCACAGATTTGTCCCTCTCATTCACTACAAATTTTTTCTTAAAAAAATTCTAAATCCCCTTTTTCGACGAATAAATTATGTATATTAAACCAAAGAAGGATAATTTTACAAAAAGGGCATTTTATCAGCAATATATTTGGATGATTCATAAAATATTTAGTAAAAAGCTGATTCTGTTATTTTAATTTTTTTCTAATAAATTCCCAAACAATTTCCATTGACCACACACAAATAAATTAATTTACGAATTTTTGGATTTAAATTAAATAAATATGTAAATGATTCATATTTTAACGATAAAAATTAAAATAATTTGATCAGATAACTTTTAATTATTCATTAATTTTTTTAAATAAAAAATTGTATACAAAAAGGGCTATTTTATCAGCAATTAACAGCCATTTTTAAATTAATTTAATTTAAAATTATTTACATTAAAAATGAAATTAAGCCTTAAATATTTAGAATTTAACAGAAAATCTTTAATTATTTTAATTACTTTTTTCAGTTTAAATAAATTCAGAAAAATTTTAGATCAAAAACTAAAATGAACTGCTTTTCTTTAATTTTTTCAATTTTAATAATAATTTTGATAAAGATAAAAGGTTTTGATTTTGTGGAAAATAATGTTTTGAAGACTGAAATGTAACAAAATAATTTTAAAAAAATTAAAAATAATTTTTATAAATTAAGAGTCAAGTTGACAACAATGGAAAATGACTCTTTCTCAATCCATTACCACCACTAAGATCACTGTATGCGTAACCCAAATTATGAAAACTTGGCTGTCTATTCCATTAATTTTTACCTTAAAGCTGGATATTTTTGTGATGGGTAATATATAAATTAATTTAAAATTAAATTAAAAATAAAATCAGCTTGTTAATTTGTTATCCTGGACAGTTGGATGGAAGGTTTAAAAAGCGAGGCCTTGTCACCAATAATGATTACCGAGTTAAAAACACAAATAAAGTAAAAATTTAAATATGTATTTAATTGAAATGGAACCTCATATCCACCTTTAACATTGGCTCATATTGGTCTAGAGAGGGGAATGTTTTAGCTTGATTTTTCTCCTGTTCATATATCATTTTTCTCGAAAACTTCGAGGGTGATGTGTTTAATACATATAAAGGTCCGACTATTTTTAATGAAATTAAGAACAATGTGGGCTATATGTGTGAAAATAAAAGAAAGGAATATTGTAATAGTGGAAAAGGAATTGACGGCCTTTGCAGGTTGGCATCGGATATTCCGTCATCCTTTGTTCCATGGCATGGAATTTACATCCACCGAAATGCTGAAGATGGCAACAAAACGAAATTGGTTTCCTCGATCTTCGACATGAAGTTATATTTTATATTCAAATTCAGATAATTAATAGAGGGAATAAGTATATATTTTTAATTTGAGGGAATAACTTCGGTATTTTCCATATTCTGCCTTCTAGTTTTCCCTGACCTTACAACTAACTTTTTTCAATAATTTAAAGTTATAATATCGGATCAGAAGAGCAATTTTCAATCACAATTGGTGAAGTAGAATTCACCACAAGGCTTATTGTTGTTGAAAAAGGTAGAGAAATGATATTCAAAGTAAATAAAAAATATTTAAATTTCAAGAAGGGCTGGCTATGAATAGATATAGTGTGGATGTGGAGCATAAAAGGAAATTTTTTGAAGAAATGAAGTGGGCCCCCTTCATTGTCTCTCGATTATTCTCGGCCCATTCAACATTTTGGATGTTGGGATATGATATATTGTCCAAGGAAATGGACAACATTCTCAGCTTTTATGTTGATAGAGGATGTAATTGTCCAATGAAAGTTTGGGTAGGGAGGAGTTTTAATTGAAAAAATATTATAATTTTATAGTTTACGAGAGAAAATAAAATAAGCCGAAAAAGTAAAGAAATGTTAAATAGATGGTTTGAAATTACTGAATTTGGAAATTCAAAATGCCCCAAAACGAGGACAGAAGAAACTTATAATTTAATTGGGAATATTGAAATTGAAATTAATTTTAAAATATTTATTAACAATTTAAATGCAACAGCAACATTCAAACTTAACAATAATGAAAGAAATATTGGAATTTATGTTTATGAAAACAAAATTATTTTTGAGAAAAATGTAAGGGTTTTATGATTAAAAATTAATTTTAAGTATGTCGCAAATGCCCTAATAGAAGTCCCGTGCCTTTTCTTCAATGGGTGTCAATGAGTGGGCCTATAATAGGATAGGATATGGGATTAGGTATGGGATTAGTATATAGATTAGTATATAGATGTCTATATTAGTATATAATTATTTAAGCAAATTGCTAATAGTTCGTAAAAATACGAAATTGTCTCTTTCCTACAAAAGAAGTACAAAATGGTCAGGGAAACGGGAAATTGGGGGGAGAGTGTGACTTTCAAACAATTGCCCGGAAATACTCTTTAAAATAAGAAAATTAAATTTAGGATGTAAACGGAGATTGGTCCCAATCAAAAATAGACATTTTGCCGAACAAAAATATTATGAGAGAAGGAATGACCCTCAATATAAAAATAAAATTATTTAAATTTTATTGTGAATTTACTATTGGAAATGAAACAAAAACATTTACAAATAAATTTTGGTATAGTAAATGGTGGTATGGAAAAAAATATTTAACGTTCAAAAATTTGGAAGTGTTTGGAGACTTTATTCGGGTTAATGCAATTACTGAAACAGAAAATGAGGTGATTTTAAAATTAATTTTTAAAAGGGAAAAATTATGTTGAATACAAAAAGTTGATAGACCATATTTCTTAGAATAATTACCCTGGGTAATTATTGTTACCTCCCGGTAGAGAGGGTTAGAGATATGAAATTTAAGCATGTAGTGGGGTATTTGATGGTAAGAGGGTAATTATTTGAGTGAAGTAACTATTACAGTTTACCCTCGCTTTACCGAAAATATTAGAAAATAGAAACTACATTATACGTAAAATCAAAATTAATTAATTAATTATAGAAAATTCAACACATTCCATTGCCCCACTCCACCCGAATATTTAACAATTTCATGACTAATGGATCAATTGCCACAATAAGAGTACAAATTAATAAAAATGCCCAAAATTTCCAGCTTCTACTTTTGCATGATTCTCCTGAATTTAATTTGAATAGTTTTTAAATTTGAATTAATTTTGTTTATATTTATTTTTAATTTAAGTTGGAGCTACAGTTTTGTCAATTTATGTTGATTATAATAATAATATTATTAATTCGACTTCATTTTCTGTAAGTTGTTTAATAAAACTGTCCAAAACTCCATATATAGAATTAGAGGCCTGTCATGTGTAGTCTCCTTCTGAGTAAAATCGGCAAATAGATTTTAGGTACAGGCCCGTAGTAACAATAAGTTTCTGAACTTTACTAGTCAGGGGATTTGAAGGATTTGTAGGGATAACGGGGATTTGAAGAAATAGGATATATAGTACCGAAGTGTTACTTATAGATGCAGAATACTAATTTTATGTTATGAAAATTTTCGATTTTGGACAAATTTATTTAAAATAAAGTATTATTCAAACTAATTAATACTAATTATTTAAAATATAGGAAAACAACTACCATAATAATGCAACAATACGAGGAGCTAATATATATTCAAAAGGCAAACCAATCCAAATTACAATAAAAATGCAAAATATCATTAAAAAGGAAGAAAACACAGAATTTTACAATATTTATATTAACGGCAAAGAATGCCACAGCTATATAGGAGGATTTCCTTTTTGGTCAACAAATTGGATACAGGTAAAATATTACTTAGACCAGGTACCCGTTTTTCAACCCGAACCCCGATTCGAAACTCTATTTTTCCATGGAAATTTGCCTATAAACGAAGAAATTTATTTCTTGGCCTCCCAAAAATAAGTGGTTAAGTCGGCCAAAGATAAGTCGTTGATATTTAAAAAATTTTGAAAGCATTTACTATTATACAAGTTATATTTAGGTAAAAGGAGATGCAGTTCTTCTAGAAGAGCCATTCATCACCTCCCCTGTAAGTGAATCTTCTAACTAATTATTCGTTAACGATTTTAATGAATAATTTAAGAAATTGCAACTAAAGGAAACTGAAAAAATCTACAAATATGAATTGGACCAATTGCCTTTTATTGGTTCCACATTCTGTCTTGAGGGTACTTTGCCTAAATCAAGCGATGTTGAAGGAATAGAGAAACTTGTAATCAGTTTAATGCATGAGAGCAATGATGAGTCAAAGAGTTGTAAGTTTTTAAAAATGATAGCCCCAACAATGCCTATTAGAGGGACTAGACTGTTTTGTGAAACCAATAAAATAATTTGGGGAAATTTATGTGAACCCTTAGACAATAAGCTTTAATAGATTAAAATAATTTATTTGATAATTAAAACTAATTTCAGTTGGCGATACTTTATTAAAAATGAACTTCCAATTCACGGCTGAACATGGGGAATCATGGCTTAAAATAACTAGCAAGCTGTACAAAGGAGATAAAACAAATGAAAAAAAATACGCAAATCCAATCGGCCTGTCGGGCGTTGACTTAACTGTTCGGATAAATGTAGAGGAATCTTACTTCAAGATTTACTTCAATGATGGAAAAACTTTTATTAAATATAATTATGTAGCCCCTCCCTGGATGGTTAATTGGATTATGGTAAATTTTATTGGTTCCACATTCTGTCTTGAGGGTACTTTGCCTAAATCAAGCGATGTTGAAGGAATAGAGAAACTTGTAATCAGTTTAATGCATGAGAGCAATGATGAGTCAAAGAGTTGTAAGTTTTTAAAAATGATAGCCCCAACAATGCCTATTAGAGGGACTAGACTGTTTTGTGAAACCAATAAAATAATTTGGGGAAATTTATGTGAACCCTTAGACAATAAGCTTTAATAGATTAAAATAATTTATTTGATAATTAAAACTAATTTCAGTTGGCGATACTTTATTAAAAATGAACTTCCAATTCACGGCTGAACATGGGGAATCATGGCTTAAAATAACTAGCAAGCTGTACAAAGGAGATAAAACAAATGAAAAAAAATACGCAAATCCAATCGGCCTGTCGGGCGTTGACTTAACTGTTCGGATAAATGTAGAGGAATCTTACTTCAAGATTTACTTCAATGATGGAAAAACTTTTATTAAATATAATTATGTAGCCCCTCCCTGGATGGTTAATTGGATTATGGTAAATTTATAAAAACAAATTCGAATAAGCATTCTTTTAGGTAAAAGGAAATATAAATAATGTTAAATTTGGCAATGATGCAGAAAGATGTTCTAAATACATTTCCAAACCACTTCCGCCACACATAACAAAAATTAAAAATTTAAAAGAAGGGAAACATATAAGTGTGAAGGGTAAAGTTACAAAATTGGATGAAAATATTTTAATTAATTTTTATTATGGAGCACTTGGATGGGACGAAAAGAGTAAGGAATTAATTTACAGAACGACTAGATTTACAAAAATATAATTTTTAAGGAGGAAATGTTGTTTTGCAGGCAAAGATAACGAATCAAAATATTACCTTTTGTAAGAAATTTGTAAGTTCAAACTAATAGTTTTTTAAAACCCTAAAAAATATTTAAGAAAAAGAATTATATTTGTGATAGTTTTGTTAAAAATTTAACTCCAAAATTGGAAATTGGGCAAATAATTAATATGGTGTTCCTGGCCACAAAAACAAACTTCGAAATTTATTATGATGATCAAGAAATTTATCAATTTGAATTGCCTCTTTGGGCTATTCATTATGTTGAGGTAACTTCTGATTTTTAAAAGTTTTGAAAAAAGACAAATGTTTTAGGTGACTGGGCCATTAACAAATATTGAGGGTCGGAATAAAATTGCAGAAATTCGAAATTGATAACTTCTACTGATTTTATACTATTCACGGAAGAAATGAAAATTTACTGAACAAATGGAAATTCACAGAAAAAACATTTTATTTTAAAATTCCCCAAAATGAACTAAATTTTTTTCAATATTAAATAAAAATTTGAATGATATTCTTTTCAAAATCAATACTGGGTAAAATTTTTATCCGTTATATGTATGTATGTAATATAATGTATATTTTGTTTTTATTTTTCCAATTAAAAAAATTTTTTTTTAATTAATTAAAGAATGTTTTAAATGGTTAATATTTAATTTCTCTAATTATTTTAAATTAAATTTCAAATTAAATAGAAATTAACAGAGTTCAATAAATGTTTTATCTTCTCCAAATAATCATTATTATTATACTAAAATTCCAGGTAATCAAAGAATTAAATAGGTAGTAGATATGTATGTAATGAGAAATATATATCTATTTAATTCCTAAAGCTATGTAGGATCGGGATGCTTAATACAATTATTTAAATTTAATTTAGTTATGTAAATTATTCACAATAATTAGTTATAGTAATTATAATTTTTAATTATATTAAAATTTTGAAAAATCTTACTATAATCGTTAAGGGCATTAAATCGCTACGTTGTTGGATAAAAGATGACCCTAGTGTGTGGATTGACAATGTAGATGTAATGTTAATTCAGGAATGTAAAGAAGATTGCGTTGCATACCATCCTTTAATAGGCTATTTTTTAGTTTTTTAAAAAGTTCAAGGAATTTAAGACTGTAATAAAAGACGATTCGACTTAGCATTAAGTATAATTTCTCCTTTAATGAAGATTCTGTTCTACATGCCAGGGCCCCCTAAACTTTTTTAATAAAACAATTAGTATAACCTTATTAATATGTATAGGGATAGAATTCGAATTATCGAAAAATATTCTCTTTATAGCGAAAATTCTCTCATTATCGGTATACATAAACCAATTACAAACAGACTTCGTTCATTTTTATGTATTCGATTAAGCTCAATGAAATCCGTGACCGCAAATATAATCGAAATCTTTAGAGTATAATCGAATCTTTAACCGCAAAAATCAGCTTGGTTCTCCTTATGGTTGTGATAGTGAGTTCGAGTCCGAAAAATGTATTGACAATCGAGCTGGGTTATGTAGAACAGAATTTGATTGATTCTTCTAGGATTGATTCTTCTAGGATTGTTTGATTCTTCTAGGATTGGCGTGATTTGTTTCAGCTCGATGAGCTCATACGAAAAGCTATGAGGGAGCATATTATACATATAAACCTTTATGAGATATTTTACAAAGCCGAATATTATTTTAGGTAAAGTTTATGATCCTGCTCTGCGCAGGAGTAATTTTTACGGATACAAACTAGGATGTGGCGACTGCATTTCTATGCGTAATAAAAATATTCCATGTATGGCATGCACTTCTAATGCTTGTAATAGAAGGATATTATTAACTGATGAAAGCATAATGTGCTGGGACGGAGATAACGTTCTTACATGTCCTAGGGAGATAACTGGAAGAGCTTGCCATTATGCTGTAATCAAGGAAACTATAGGTTTGTTTTGTTTTTCGATTTAAATGGTTGATATAATGCACTTTATAACAGAACATTTATTTCTACTTTACTCGAGCGATATTATAAATCGCTCAGTTAAGAAATCTTATGCCGCTTAATTTCAAAAAAGTATTTTCTAAAGAGGGTATAGAATTTTATAGTGAAACTATCACTCTCACAAGGGGATTATATTACAATATCTCAAAATCAAGAGATTGTGAGAACTAAGAAGATTGTTGCATAGGTACCAAGGAAGTATCCGCTTCTGCTTTCAGCAGAATCCGCTTTTTTGGCCCTTCCACTTTCCGTCTTCCGTTTTTATCCCTCTTCGCGAAATTTTCTAGACCGTATTTTGGTCGTTCCATGTTTTGTCTGGACCGTGTTTTGGAAATAAATGGAAGTTATTCTATTTGAAAAAATGGTTGTCTTATGTAAATTAGTATGTTTGTTCTTACAGTTAAACAAGGATGTGGCCGTCCGGACTTGTCAAAGGAAAAAGAAACGGACATACAGTTGCTTTTATGTATTCATGATAATTTTTGCAATACAAAAGAAGAATTTGAAAGAGTACTTTTTTGCCTGATTAAAGGCTGGGATGAATTGGAACCTAAGAGAAAAATGTGTTATGAAAATGTAGGAATGACTGACAGTCACCGTGAACCATGTTTTATTAATCGACGTGAGGATGGAAAAGGTTTAACAAAATTTAGGAAAAATTATTAATAATTATTTTAGTAAAACAAGGTTGTGGAGAGTGGAACAAGGCATGTCCAGATAATAAAGATACCGAATTTTGTAAATACTGCAGAACAAAAAATTGTAATGACGAAAAAATAATACCTAAATATTGTTGGACAAATTATGGAAAAATTAAAGTAAATGGAGATGTTCCTTGTTTTGTGGAAAGAACAAGAAACCATCAAAGTAATTAGATCTAACAATAAATATTTAAATTAATTTAAAATTTCTAGTAAATAAAGGAATTGGAAAATGTCCTTCAATAGCGTGTAAAACTTGTTATAAACATTTATGTAATGATGGGAATGATCTTCCTTTTAGTTTTTGTTTTAATGGTGATGGAAAGGGAGTTATTGGTTGTGGTAAATCGAATTGTTATATTGCTAAAGTTGAGTATTAATTGAATATTAGAGTTTGAACTAGGGCCGGGTCCCGACCCGAAATTCTGATATTTGAGGAAAATAAGTGCTCCCGGGTTTTAACATTGAAGTTCCTCCCGGTACCGTGTAAAATGAAAAACTTCAATAAATTTTTTTAGGCTCAAAAGCTGGTTGTGGCACTTGTGATGAAAATAAAATAGACAATTCTTGTGTTGATTGTCGAGGATTAAATTGTAATATAAAAGATAAATTAAAGGAAAATGTTTTTTGTTATGAGAGAAAAGAAAATGGAAACGAGAAGGAAGGGGGTAGACCTTGTAAATCGAAATTTTGTTTTATATCTGTGGATGTTAATAAAGGTAATTAAGGAAGGAATGAAGGGTAAAGGAGACGATAGAATTTCTTTTTTTTAAAGGTTTTGGAATGTCTGAAGAAACAATTTTTAAAAAATACACTAAACAGGGATGTGGCAAATGTCCTCGTTCTGTAGAAAATAAAATTCCATGCAGAGAATGCAAAACAGATTTATGCAATACAGAAAAGTATTTTCAACAAGTAAAGTTTTGTTGGGTTAGAGATATGGCTGCATGTCCTTTAAATATATGGAATGGATTTTGTTATTATAATGTGAGGAATAAAAGAGGTATTTAAAATTTAAATCGAATATTCGTAGCGGATTTTCCAAGAAAAGGTTTTTTCTATGAAAGAGCTATGCTATCGGGGCAGGGTTGTGCGTCATAATTTAAGCGAACAAAATCTTCTGATCCGGATATCCGATTTACAACTCAACGCCATGACGCCCAACCCTGATCAGGGATGGATCCACCTGTATTTTTAGAATCGGAAGGCAGAAGTGCCAAAAAAGACAGAACTAATCTTGCTTAAAGTTAAAGCTTGGCTTAAAAAACATTTTTTCGAGTCCGTGACCTAAGACCACATGATAAGAATCATTAGTTATGTCCCTGTTTTTAAAATTTCAAAAAATAATTATCCGAAATTTAAACAAATAACGGATGGCAATTACAAATTATTCAACTTTATTTTTAATTTTTAGTCGAGCGAGGATGTGGGAAAGGACCTAAACTCGAAATAAATGTTTTAAATGTTCATTGTAATGGCCAACTTTGCAATACAAAAGAATTATTTGATAAAACATTTTTTTGTTTAAATAAAGGAAAAGAAGAAAAGTCGTTAGGAGCTATTATTTGTGAAGAAAGAAGTTGTTTAGTTCGTCGACATTTTGATGGAAAATGTAAAAATAAAAAGATTTTTTGAATAAAAAAATAATTTTTAGTAGAACAAGGATGTGGAAAGTGCCCAAAAAATAAAATAAATTTAAGCAATATACAATGTGCTCAATGCCATAAAAATTCATTTTGTAATACTGATACTTTCTTTGAAAGTCAAATATTTTGTTGGGAGAAGAATGCTTTAAATTGGATAAAAAATAAGGGAACGAGGGTTTGTAAAGTTGGTGTTTGCTTTATTGGGGTTGATAAAAATAAAATGGGTAAATTTATATTTATTTTGAAATTAAGTAGAATCTCGAAATAATCTTGATATAAATAAACTTTCTTTTGCCTGTCAGTCCAGGTATGGCCCTGGCGCAACGAAAGACAAAGGATGAAAAAAGGAGGGAAAATAAAAAGCAAAAGCTGGAGACAGCCCATCCCTGATAATTCCTCTCCCTAGTCAGCCCCGAAATTTCCATTTACCTGGATTTTAGATAGTGATTTTAATAGTGATAGTAATTTAAATTTTCTTTCCTTATTAGTTTTTTATTATAAGAGAGGCACAAGATCTTTGATGGAAATCGATCTTATGAATAAACATTTCCTATGCCCCTTTCTATTTAATTATATTCGAGAGTAAAGCTTTCCTAAGAAATCATAAAAATTATTTATTTAAAGGCCTTGTTCAAGGGTGTGATAAATGTAAAAGGCAACATAATCTAGCAAAATGCAGTGATTGTTCTTCCACCTCTTTATGTAATACAGAAACAATACTTCCCCCTCCTATAAAATGTTTCCATTTCAATTCAAAATTTCAACAAAATTTAAAAATAAATAAAACATGTCACCATGTTTATGACAGTTGTTATATTGCTAGAGATGTATTTTGGAGAGGTTATTTAGTTAAATATTTTTTCTTATAAAAATTAATTTAAAAAAAAAAGTTGAACAAAATTGTGGAGAATGCCCTTCAAAATATCAAAAATGTGTTAAATGTAATAATAATTTTTGTAACAAAGAATCCCTTTTACCTTTAACAACAACAACAACTATTAAACAAACCCCAAAAACAACAACAAAAACAAGTACAACA